TCTAAGGTAGTACCTCAAGAGATAAAGTTGGGGGGAAGAACCACTGAAAGTCCAATAGGACTAGTAGTTTTTCCTCCTTATTTATGCAATGCACAGTGATTGTATTGCATTTTGTTAACCTGATAGTGAAGTACCTAAGATTTAGATGAACCAGGAGAAAACCCATGCAACCCACAGAACCACTTCTGCAGCCTCCAGTTTCCAGTCAAACCTCCAAAGCTCCTCTGAAATAAGCAGAGCCATTTTTTGCCCTTTTTTTGCATTGGTGGGGGGGAGCAGGGGTGGTTTAAAGCCACTCTGATTACCCTCTGGGAAGGAGGGCAATATGTAAACCAAAGTTATTATTTACCCTTTAGAATCACCCCCAAGATAATGATTTCCCCATTTTATTTATTCATATGCTGCCTCAGTCTTTAGATTCTATTCAGCTTCCAATAAATATAGGATAAACAGGATAAGAAACATAACAAGAAAATACAGCTCTTAATCAAATCAATAACTGCCAAAATAACCTAGCACTCAGAATATGCATACCTTCCTCTCAATTACAAGAAAAACATACACATAGTTCACCTAATACCTCTCTTCAATCCCTGAAGGCTCTGTGGAAAAGCAATGTTTTAACAACTTTCCTAAATATCTCCAGAGAAGGAGCAATCCTCACCTCAGCGGGACAAGCAAGCTTTTCCAAAGGAGGAAAGCCATAAAAGAGAACGCTCATTTCTAAGCCTCCATGTGTCATCTCCCAGCACGTGGGGAATCACAGCAAACCCTCTGTGCAAACCCTCTGTGGCAGGCAGATTCAACCTGGAGTTAACAGTCTTGAAGACACTCAGGCTCCAAGCCATCTGGGGCCCTTTGGTGGGATCACAGGACAAAATGGGTGCTTTTAGGTTTATTTCTCCCCTTTAAAATTCAGGCTTATTTTTCTCAGTTTCATGTATTTGTTACATTTCTATATTACTGCCCTCTAAAGACTATCAGCAATATTAAAAAGTATACATCTCAAGCATCAATGGCACAGAATGATAGAACATCTATACAATAATAAATTAATATAAAAATACATCACATTTAAATTAAAACCACAGCTGCATTCCAAAATGACTTTATGTGATGCAATAATCTTCATCTTGGAATATTTTTAGGGAAAATGGATGCTTTAAGCCTCTGCATGGTTAAAAGCATCCATTTTGCTTTTAATCCACCCCCACCATTCCATTACCAAGGACCCTCAGAAAAGGATGAACTGTGAGTCCTATCCCCTCTGGTGCCATTATGACTTCCTAAACATTGCCTCTTCAGCCCTGGGAGGATAAAAATTTAAAAAATGGCACCAAGCTACAGAGAAATTGCTCATCTTTGAGATAAGCATTATTTTGTTTATTTATTTATCAAATTTATAGGGCCGCCCATCTCACAAAAAGTGATTCTGGGCAGCATACATAAAGCCAATAAAATAATAAATATATAAAACAAACATTCCCTAAAAACATTACAGTATATAATAATTATTAAAAAGCACTAAAAACTATAAAAGGAGAAAAAGAGAGTAATTATACTAAAGTTTATATCCCACACATTAACTTTTTCTCACTAATCCACATCATTTTCAGAATGACAACAGACATTCACCAGAATTTCAGAATCTGAATAAAGGCTGCAGATCATCCAAAGTCAGAGCTGAGGCCAAAATGAAACTGGGATACTGGATACGAAGTCAGGCCAGAAACCCTCAAAATTATATATGCAACATAGGTTTAACACTGAAGATAGCTCCATAAATATACAAGGGCAGTGTTCAAACTGCCAGCCCAGGAAGCTCAAAACTGTTGTGGACTATTATTTATTAATCTTATTAGACTGGTACATCAAAAGCATTTTCACAATTTAAAAAATATACATCTGAAAAGCAATTGAGATACAAGATTCTGTCTTGTTCTACATGAATCAGCTCCTAACACAATCCTCTGCACTTGTTCTCCAATTTTCACCAGTATCTGTTGAGGTTAATCAAGTTTGCCAATTACAAATTTATGGTAAGTCAGCACATAGCTGAACTAATAATTTTATAAAACTCAGGCCCTAGCCCAGGACAGACAATAGAAGTAACGCTTGCCTGAATCAAGCCAATACATATCAATTTCAAGTTGTTCTTATAAACAAGTGTGAGTAAATTCATTTACTAACATTTGTATCATAATTTTTTACAATTTCACCTGCCTCCTTTAATTTCTGTATTTTTTATCTATTCCACCTGCTTTCAGGGGAGGTATCTCAACATATGTGCAATATTATTTTTCTTGTCGCATGTTTCTGAGGTATTCAAAGACTTTACAATGCAAAGTCAATAACAGGGAAGCCAGGGTCTATAAGTCATGAAGGCAGACAAATGATAATTCAGATATTAAAATATAATTGTAGATAAAATGAGTATTAAAGGAGTAAGATTAGAAATGTGAAAGCTGGAAAAAATTGTCTATATTTTCCTAGGAATTGTTTGTTTTGGTTTTAGAAAAGTGAAAAATGGATGGCATATGTCCTAATATTTTCTTTTTAAATTATATGTAAAATAGTACAGTATTCATATATTGCTCAGTCTTTACTATTACAAGAATTAAGATATCCATATATAAAAAGAAGGTAATGTGATGTGAAAAACTTCTGGGTAGAATCACTGAAATGATAAAGGCTCAAAGAAAAAAGAATGAGCTAAAAGTCTGAATGCAAGAAGGCCATCTTGAGTTTAAACACAACAAAGGTCCCTAGTGAAATTAGTCTGTCAAAACAGAAAACAATTCAATACTTTGAGCAGTATCCATCCTAGTGTGGCATGAGTTTTTACAGTCAACAACATACTTCAGAGGGACTGATAACAAAAACAGATAACAGAAACAGCACTATGTGCGCACACATATACTGAGCATAGTATTTTGTGAAATTTTCAAGAACATATACCATAATTTCATACAAAAATATCCTTGGCATATGTTACAATTATCAAGCAATTATCAAGAAATAATAATAAAAAATTATTATTTTTATGTTCACTGCTATACTCCTACCTCAGTGTTCCATAAACACTCATACACGTAACACATGCAGTTAGATATACTCTTTCGTATCAGTATATATGTTTAAATGAAGTGCAGGTTCTAATTCTTGCAGTGACTGAAGAAAACAGCAGAAGGAATGCAGTTACTCCCACATGCAAACACATATGACAGCATTAGTCAAACAGAAAAGGAGCATGGGAATATATGGAGATATACATACAAAATCATCTTACATTACATCAGAATAATGTTTTGCCTTACCCACTGCTAACTGGCAACAACTCTATGGCCAAGAGGTAGTTCCAGCAACGCTATCCAAGGTCCTCCATATTCAGAAATATCAGCCTGAACATGGGACTTCATGTACATGAAAGATGCACTCCATCACAGAGGTATAGCTAGTGAGATATATATGACAAGAGACTAGAAAGATGTCACTATGACTAAGATGTATATGTGAGCCCTGTTAAGTTCCAAATAATCTCCTACTAGTAATAGTTGTCAAAGAAGCTTGCTCTCACAGACCAGATTACATTTTAGATGAATGAGATGTTATCTGGTAGACGTGTCTGCCACACACTACAGAAAAATAGTGCAATTATTAATGCAATAAGCAGGCTATCAATTGTAAAGGAAGCAGTAGGTCTACAGAGGCTAATATATGCAGGGTAAGAAAATTAACTGTTATCTCACTCTTTCTCCAAGAACCTCCTAATTCCCCATTCATTCTTACAACAACCCTACAGGATAAGTTTCTGCCAACAGGCAGGGATTAGGGAAATAAGCCTCCACCCTCCCATGGACGAAGATTTCAACCTTTCCGATCCAATATACAGCCTGCAAATGCTCTCATATATATCCAGTTATATAGTACAATTATGCATTTGACTGAAGCAAACACTACCCCACTGAAAGCATTTAATGCTGCCTTAAGTCTGTTACTGTATTAAAAGGTCCAGATATTTCGTTGGAACTGCTGTCCTCGCTGCAATAGATTTATCGTGGACCCCCTCCATTCCTTGACAATACCACTATTTAATCTTACTAGGTGTGGCAATACTGTATTTAAATGAAAACAGCTAATCTCAGTCTCTCCGTTATACAAGATGCGAGACAGATTTATTGCCTATCCTCCACCGCGAGTTGATGACTGAAAAACGAGAGAGAGCTCTTCCCAGCCCTCCGTCCTTCCTAGCGCCCCAACCTCGGCCTTTCCTTCCTCCACCGGCCTTCGCCTTCGCCGCCGGGATTGTTGGGAGGGACACCGCCCAGCCTCACCCAGAGGGGCGTTTCCACGCCTAGCTGCATCTTACCCCCACCCCGCACTCACCCGTCCAGCGCGTCGTTCATTCAGCCCCGGCTAAGCTGGAGGGGATGGGTTTCTGGGAGCCGCTAGACGGGTGCGGTTCTTAGATCCACCCGCTTCATTCACAAAAAATGCAAATAAACAGACAGGCGCTCAAAGCACACTCTTCCCTCGGCAGCCGACAGGGTGGCACCCGCCACTCACGGCAAAGGGAGGGGAGGGGGACAAGACCGGAGCAGGTGTCGATCACGGCCCCAAGTCCCGCCTTCCACCCTTTGATAGGCACGGGCTGCTAAAAAAGCCCAACCCCATCCTGGCTTCGACGGCCCCCACGGAACCGATGTCCAAAGTGGGGACGTCGGACGATGGCTCAAAAGCACCCGCCAGCCTTCGAACGAGGCCCTGACTGGTGCTCTAAAACGTCAGTCACCCCATGGCCTTCAATATTCCGTCCCCCCCCCGCTCCAATCCTCGCCAAGATGCCTCCGAGGGGATCCATTTCCCAGCCCAAAGGCGGAGGGGGAAGACCCTTCCGCCGCAACCCCTCCCTGTGGTTTCAAGGAAAGGTGCCGTAACGATTGCGGAATAACTGGCATCATACCGCGATCTTCCAGGAAGCTTCCGCGCCAGGCACTGACCTGTGTATGGAAACAGAAGAAAAAAGCAAGGATAAGGAACGAATGAACCCCCTACGGAAGCCGCCGTTGCTGGGGAAGAGGACGAGAACGGCCCTCGGTGCTAACACTACGGTGCGCGCGCCGCCAACGGAGTCAGCCCGTGACGGAACGCGCCATCTTGGAGTTTTCAGATAGAAACCCACGTGGTACAGACCACTTTTTTCATGCTCCCGTTAAGCCAATCGGAGAAAGAAGCTATTAATAGCCGTGCTCTGCTTTTTCCTCTAACCCTCAGTCGCGGCTCGCTTTCCCCCCTTCGGAAGGGAAAGGGAGGCAAGTTTTGTTGCCTCGGGGTTGTACACTATTTAAAGGATTTCGGAAGTAGGAGGTGCGTTTCTCAGAGCCGGTATAAATTCTCCGCATCTCTGGAGTCTTCACACGATTCGGGGAAAGCAGCATTCGCTCGTTCCTCGGCGTATACTAAATACATTAAAGCGCGTCTTTCAGACTTGACTGAATTCCTGTGATTGTCGTAGCAGAGCTCTGGAACCTTGTATTCTCATTGGTTTATGACAGATATAAAAAACAACAGTGCTAAAGTGGCCGGTGCAGTCTTTAAACAACGTTTACAAATAACCCAGTCCCGCTGGACATAACGAAACGTACTCCTTCATAAGAGGAAGTCGATAAAAGAGGAATCATTAAATCAGACACGAATCCTTTTGATATTATATGATTTTTACACTGGGGCTATCTGAAATCACCATCATATAATATGCCATACCTGTCTGCAACACATTGTAACCTAATAATTATGAATTTGGCCATTTGGGGCATTGCTTGGGTGCAAAAACATGGATCTTGAAAGTGCATGATTTCTTTCCTATGGGGTCCAAATGAAACCATCCAGTCACATTGCATCTGTCTACATTTGATAAGCCATCCCAGTTTTTAGCACCGTCACACTATTTTGGACTGACACATAGCAAATCATAGAACCCAGTCTTCACTGTACCAAAATTGTGTACCACTGAACATTCAGTTCATACATGGGTTTTGACATCTGCAATTCACTACAAAAATGCCAAGAAACTGCTACCCATGCTGGTCAGGCTGCTAATCAGTGCAAGTTACAGAGATCTCAAGTTTTCACTGGTTAACAGTTGCCTAAGGGGATCAGTTTAAGAATTTGCTATTGACCTTAAAAGCTGTAGTTGGCTTAGGGCCTGACTAGCTAAAGGAACTCCTGCTATGAACTGTCTGATTTCTTCGATCAGTGTTTCTCAGGCTTGGGAACTTTGAGATGTGTAGACTTCAACAGCCAGAATTCCCCAGTCCACACATCTTAAAGTTCCCAAAGTTGAGAAACCCTGGCTTAGATCAACAGAAGAGGGCCCTTTTGCTAATACTCTTGCTGCCAGATGTTTGACTAGCTGGTATACATATATATGACCTCCTCCAGTGTGACTCCCAAGGTAAGGAATGCACTTCACAAGGTAATACATTTGGCACCACTGACACAGTACTTGGAAAATAACAAAATGACATATTTTTTCTACATTTTTAATAGATTATATATTTTTATTTTAATTGTATTGTTAGGCTTTGTATTGTGTATTTTCTATTAATGTGAGCTGCTTTGAGTTTTTGCAATCAGAAATGCAGGGTATACATTTAACAACAAATTTAATTTTAAAAAATCTAGGCCATAATCCTTTGTGAATCTGTTATTATAGCAGCCTATAGCATTCATCTCATTCATTTAAAGCAGAGACTTAAAACTGCAAAGCCTGTGATCAAACCAGTGAAGATATGGTCTGATAATGCTAAGTTACAGGCCTGCTTAGAGTGCACAGACTGGAATGTTTTTGAAGCTGCCTCTGCAGATCT